TGAATGACATATTCAACCAGGATTCTATCTGAATCCATACAAACAGCTACTGTCCAACAGAGACTTTCATACACTCATGGTCTGTTGGTAAAATGTGGAACCTTTTAAATCACTGTCAAAAGAATCAGGTGGATAGAAGTAAGGGGCTGGCCTTCTACTACTCACGGGGAACAGGGGAAACCCAAGGGAACGGAAATGTGGTACTGTAGCTGCAATCTTGTTGGATACATTCTTATATTGGATCTTTCTTAAAGTCTTCCCATGGATTCCTGATAATGCTGGATACATTGAAAATAACAAAATGAGGGCTGGAGAGATAGACCAGTATAAAGTGCACTTGCTGCTCTTCCAGAGGATCTGAGTTTAATTTCCAGCATGTACATGGTAGCTCATAACTGTCTTGTAACTCCAGTTCCAGTATATCTGACACCCTCTTTTGGGATCTGTGGGCACCAGACATCATATGATACACAGATATATATGCATGGAAAACACTCATACACATAAAATAAAACAACAAAACAAATTCTATTCTATTCTATTCTATTCCCTCCTCTCAAGGTATCAAAAAAGGAAAAACTCTTGAAAGAAATTTCCCTATTAAAATGTCCACTTTATATGCCCACATGTTCACAAACACTTATTGGCTGCCTGCTTAGCCTTTTAGCCTTTTGAGAGTTTGAAAAATACTGTGTACTTCCTAACAGAAAGCCTCCCCCCCCATATATGTCAAGAAACAAACAACAAAAAGCATCCCAAACAAAACAAAGTGTCCCACAAAGACCTTCAATAGCAAGGGCTGGGAAGGTGCCCAGCAGCTGAGAACTCTTGCTTCTCATGTAAAGGACCTGAGTTTGGTTCCCAGCACTGATGTTGCATGGCTCAAAACCACCTGTGACTACTGCCCCAGGGGATCTGACATTCTTTTCTGGCTTCCGTGGGTATTGACACAAACACATATACACACAGAGATATACATAGATATACAGATTTTTTTTTTAAAAAAAAGTCTTTAAAATAAACTAATATATATATTTTTCTTTGATCCAGATCCTTACTATGTAACTCTGGCTTTCCTGGAATTTTCTCTGAAGACAAAAGTGGACTTGAACAAAGAGATCCACATGCTTCTGGTCTTGAAAGCTGGGATGAAAGGCATGTGCCACCACCTCAGCCTGAATACCATTTTCTAAGCCCCTTTTGGTTGACAGAAATGCATTTGGAATCAAGTTTTAAGAAATGAGTGAGTTGAGCTGGTGCATCCTAGATCTCATAGGAACTGGAGAACCTTTGCCTGCCCTAATAGCCACTCCCTGGGCCCTGCCGTTAGGTCAGAATGATCCTTGGCTCTATCTTCATATGCTCCAGGACATGCTGCCAACTGACTAGTCACATAATGTGCTGGACAACTGCTACCTTTCCATGCATGTAATACCCAGAGAGCAGTCTAATCGGTCACCGGTGAAACACACAGGCCATGAGGACTTAGCACTGGCACTCTCTGTGCCAAGAGCTAGCAGGTGATTTGCTCTTTGCTAAACAACTGCCAACACTTGCAATTTATTCCCACATACCCAAGTATATCATAGTAAGAATGAATACACCCAAAGGTGTCAGAGAATTAAAACTAATTTCCCAAATGTAACAAAAGGTGTATCAGGTAGCTAAAAGTCTTCAGCCATTGTTGACTGAGTATATTTGCTAAAATTTTGAGTACTATTATAAAAATAAAACTTGTGAGGGGGTGCGATATACCATTTTGGTACCAGAATGTCTTTAGTATCTTTAAATAACATTAATGCTTTGCGTACTACATACACTATTTTAAAATATGCATGAATATCAGCTTCCTCTTTACTATATCTATTATCGATTTTGTGTGCATGTGTGTGAGAGGCAGTGTGTGTGTGTGTGTGTGTGTGTGTGTGTGCAGCACACACATGCACATATTCGTCTGCATGTGCAGGATCAGACAACAGTTGGTAAGTTTCACTCAGTTCTCGCTGTCCACTATGGGAGGTCCCAGGGATCAAATGCAGCTCACCAGGCTGGGCAGCAAGCGCCTTATCCTCAAGGCATCTCACCAGCTACTGTGCCTATTAGATTATAACTTTCTTTGAAATTTTCTTAAAACAATCAAATTTAAGAGAAATTTGTAAAAAGGAATATGTAATTGCTTAGGAGCCATGACTGCTCAATAATTTATGAATTTCTCTTTTTCTCACTATAAAACATACACCTAAAAATTCCCTTTTCTATAGTTATTGTATAAAATAGAAAAGTTTGCTTTTATAGAAGCCCTTAAGAGGAATGGGGAGAGGGGAGGACTGGGAGGAGAGGGGGTCCAGATACTCGGATATAAAGTGAATAAATAAATAAACAAAATAAAGAGAGTAAGAAATGGGAGAAAATCACTGACTATAACACTCCTGAAGCTGACAAAGACTGGAAGGGAGAGATGGAGATGGCTCAGCTCCATGGGTAGCCAGGAAGGGCTCCTGCTTTCCTGATACACTCTTTTAGAAAAAAAAAGATAGTATTGTTTTTCTGCTCCAGGTCCCTTCCCTTCCCTATATCTGAGAACACTTCAGACCTAGAAAACATACTTGTTATTTGCCCAGAAACCAAAGGGAGATGGGCAGGGGTGCTCTTCAGAGCTGATAGCCAAGATACAGACAGATCAAAAGCTAAATCCAATTTAGTCTACCTCAGGCTGAAACAGTGATTGAATTAAACTTCCTCTAAATATGATAAGTTTGGGCTCTTAAAGCCAGGCACAAAGAAGCAGGTTAGAGCACGCTGCTACACAAATGGATGCACTGAGCTCTAGCCCCTGCCCACAGGGAGTTTGATAAGCTGGTGACGGCTTCTATCACTCCACTGCCCAGCTGAAAACTGATTAAGCTACTTATGCAGTTTGGGGGACTAATGGCCTGGCCCACCAAGAACACCACTGTCACTGACTTAAGTAAGCTGCGTGGCATTTATGGTTTGATTATTGCAAGAAGGAAAAAGAAAGGGGCATGTAGGGGAGACAGCAGGGTACAGGGAAGCTTTAAAAAGCAGGCTCCATTATTCTAAATGGATATGCTACTTTGACACCCTAAAATGACTACCGAATTACTCTTAATTCTCTCTTCATCTGACACAAAACTCGTGTTTGAAGGGCCTCCTTAAAGGGGAGCTACTCTATTTTAAACCGCCTTTATAAGAATGTTTGGTGCCTTTAAACACATGTCTCAATGGTAGTGTGTGGGCCCTTAGCTACTATGGACCAGACAGACTGCTAAGAAAATAGATAGATAACAGTATACCAGAAAATTCAGTCAATTCTCCCCTATAATATCACCAGGTGACTTTAATTGGAGACACATCCCTCTGCACCCTGGCCAGCAGCTTCTGTGAGGGCTGGCCTACGCCGGAAAGGCAGGCAGGTCTGAAGGAGCAAGTAGGTCTAAATTTGACAAGAAGCATAGATTAAAGCTAGCCTTCTTTCAGGCATGTCCAACTAAATGTTACACTATTTGTTACAAATGACAATGACCATTAAAGTCTTAAATTTTTAAATTAAAAAAAAGACATACCAGAACCTTGAAAAGTAATTTCAGTCTGAGAAGTGAGCACAGGACATGGGTAAGTTTTAAAGCTGATCTCACTTCTTTTGGGCAAAAAACCAAAAAACCAAAAAAAAACAAACAGTGAGGAAACAAAGACAGATTCCCAGCAGTTTGAGGTTTCTAAAGTTGTCACAATTATTTTCTGGTTCTTAAAAGAATAAGTATTTATTTAGGAAGTAAAGTTAGTGTTTTCATTCCGTGTCTGACAGCTTCTTAGGCAGTGAGTAAGACTGGTTTAAATGATTAACCAAAGCTAAGCAGACTCAGATCTCAGCGCTGAGCACACAAGACCCTGGTTTCTTCCTGGCTGCTAACCTGTCAATCATTAAAAGTACAAGCACTAACAAAATCCTAAAGGCTGGTTTTGCCTCTCTTCTGTGCTCTGCTATGTTTTATTAAACTATATCCAACTGTTAGATTTCGGCATCTGAAGGCTTTGTGCATCCACTCACTGCCTTTCCCATGTCTTTTTTTTTTTCCTTCACATAATTTTTAGTTGCGATACTCACATCACATAAAATTCATTATTTTAAAGAAAACAGTCAATTTATCTTCAGTATATTCCCAAGGCATCATCACTATCTAGTTCAGACCTGGACGAGATCCCACATCCATTGGCAGTCTCTGCTTACCTCCATTCTTTCCAGAGCTTGGAACCACTAATCTCTTTTCTGTTGCTATTAATTTGCTTATTGTGGACATGCCGTTTAAATAGTTGCAATGATAGATATTTCGTCCTACCTGCATTCTTAACTTAGCATGATGTGTCAAAGGCTCATCCATGTAGTAGTGTGCATCACTATCTCATATCTCACTTCTTTTTATGGCTAGATAATGTTATATAATAATGACAAACAACATCTTGTTCAACCATCTATCAGTTTATAAACATCTGGCTGTTCCCCACTTTTTTCTATTGTGACTCATGCTACACTTGGCATTCTCACAAAGGTTTGGTATTATTTGCTTTGGGGACCAGTCTTGCTATGCTAGCTATGAAGCCCAGGATACCTCAATCTCCTAAGTAGCTGGAACTGCAACCCCCTCCCTACCCATTCACGGTCAAGCTTTCATAAACTCTTGGGCATATCGTTGGGAGTAGAATCTCTGGGTTATATGGAGCTGCTAAACTGCTTTCCAAAGTGGCTATTCCACTTAACGTCCCCAGTACCAAAGTCTGAGTGCTCCAGGGACTCCACATTCTTGCCAGTATTTGTCATGGTCTCATAGTACCTTTTTTATACCAAATCTCCCCCATTCTGAACAAAAATTAGTTAATTGTGAAGAAATTACGGCAATGACAGATTAATTCAGTACCCAAACCACAATCCACAAAGTGACCTCTGACAGAAAATGAAAATGAAAAGCCCTCCAAGCACGTACCTGCTGCAGGTCAGCAAGAGAGTACAGGTGGATCTGTTGAAGAAGGTATTCTCTGGGGAAAATTCTGGAAACAAAGGCATATACACAGTGACCAGTGGCGCCATAAGACACGTTTCAGTTAAGTCTTATTCAGAACCCCTTTCACCTCTGCTTATGTTCCCAACCCTCTGAGAACCCAGCTCTCAAGAGAAAACCTCCCTTTCCTCTGATATGTTGTTTTGGAAGGTAAACACTATAAATAAATATGATTTTTCATTTCTAATGTTATCTTAAATGATATAGTATTATAGGCCACATGTGATTTTTGTTTTGTTTTTGTTCTTTTAGTTTTTGGAGATAAGGTTTTGATATGTAGCCTTGAACTGTGGCCTTGAACTCGAAATCCTCCTGCTTCAGCCTCGACAGATACCAGGATTATAGGAGTGTACCACTATGCCTGTCCTGCTGCTGGTTTTTCATACTAGTTATGTCACTAACAAACTGTGTCATCTTACATCTCAAACAGCTTCTATGCTTGTCCAGCTGCTATACTGTGTAACAAGGACAACTGAACTTGCTGGCGCTAACATCAGTGTAGGTATAACAGTAATGTGCTGGTTTGAATAAAAATGTCCCCATTTTCCTCCAATAGGCTCATGTTTAAATATTGGGCTCCATTTGGTAGAATTGTTTGGGAAGGATTAGGGGGTGTGGGCCTTGTTGAAGGGCCTGTTGTCATGAGAGATAATCTTTGAGATTTTAAAAGAATCATGTTATTCCCAGTGCGCCTCGCTCCTACCTTCTGCTTGTGGATCAAAATGTAAGCTTGCAAGCTATTCCAGCTGCCATGACTTTGCTCTATTTTCATGGACTCTAACCCTCAGAACCATAGGCCCAATTAAATACTTTCTTTTTATAAATTGCCTTATTGTTACAGCAATAGAAAAGTAACTAATACAACTGTATGTCTAAACTAACTAATTTTAATGTTAAGGAATATTAGAATGGCAACTTAGAATCACCTATGGGCAGGGGATAGTTCCACTGAATGTCACATTCATGATATATTCTCTTAAGGGCACATTGAAATTAACCTTTAGATTTTGGGCACAGACGGTGACAATAACATAAAACTGTAAATTGACACACTTCAACAAATTTCACTTGCTGTTGTTAATGTCTAGGACAGATGACTGTGAGTGAATTAAAAAAAAAAACAAATCAAAACCAATAACAACAATTGTGAGCGAGCAGCTCCCAAGAAAGAGAGCAAGGTAGAGACAAGAAACAACACATACACATGCACACGTACATGTACACACATGCACACACACATGGTAGAGAGTAGTATACACCTGTAATCCCAGTACTTGGAAGGTTAAAGAAGGAGAATCGTGAGTTGGATACCAACCTGGATAGTGACACTGACTCAAAATAAATAAACAACAAAAAGGAAATACTATATATTCAAACCAAATCCAAAGACAAACTCACAGTTGTTAGTATTTTCTCTCTGTCTTACATGGTACTATAAGTGTATAACCAATCTTGTGGTTGGTTGTGAGCCTTAGCTTTTAAAGGCTGTGCTATCTTTCTAGCTCTAACTTGTATTCTAAATGAAACCCCCGATTTATTGAACTAACATTTATGACTATCCTTTAGATGCTAAGCATGAGGAAGTCTCAGTATCTGAGTTCAAGAAGCATGGAATGAAGTATAGCTGAAGGATATAAACAAAATGATAACTAGACTACACACTGCAGAGAGGTGATATTAAGAGCGATGTGTGGGGCACGTCCTTTCAGAATGGCAGATCCCAATTCTGGCTACCCATCAGAACCACTGGGGCAGTTTTAGGAAGTGAAAGAACACACACATAGGTAAAGAGAACAGGAAACAGTGAAGGCAAAAATCCTCCTATTACTAGAACAACCAAGGGTTAGAAGCTCGGGCCTAAATATGTAACTTGCTGGGGAATTCATTATTCAGTCTGTTAATTAAGGACAAATTAGTTACCAAACTCATTAGAGATGAATATGTTCAGTATTTTTAATCCATCTAATGCTGATTAAGCACATATTACATACCAGGCACAGTACCACACTACTGAAGAAAAGGGTAATGGATCATTGGACAAAGCCTTGGCTAGTGGAGGACCAAACAGCCATTCTAGGTTGGAGCTGTAGAAATGGAAGAGCTCTGTTTCAAAACACAATTTCATCCAGAGACCAAGTGCAGGGCACTGCATTCTAGGAAACTGAACTTGGGTCCTGAGGCCAGGCTCCTTCATCTCTAATGGACTAGGGCTGACCTGTAGCAGGAAGCAGGAAGCAGGAAGCAGGAAGCAGGAAGCAGGAAGCAG